CACCTCGAATCCTGTGTTCAGTTTTGGGCCCCTCACTACAAGAAGGACACTGAGGTGCTGGAGCGTGTCCAGAGAAGGGCAACGAAGCTGGTGAAGGGCCTGGAGCACAAGTCTTATGAGGAGCGGCTGAGGGAACTGGGGTTGTTTAGCCTGGAGAAGAGGAGACTGAGGGGAGACCTCATCGCGCTCTACAACTACCTGAAAGGAGGTTGTAGCGAGGTGGGGGTTGGTCTCTTCTCCCAAGTAACCAGCGATAGGATGAGAGGAAATGGCCTCAAGTTGCGCCAGGGAGGTTTAGACTGGACATTAGGAAAAATTTCTTTACTGAAAGAGTGGTCAGGCCTTGGAACAGGCTGCCCAGGGAAGTGGTGGAGTCACCATCCCTGGAAGTATTTAAAAGACGTGTAGATGAGGCGCTTAGGGACATGGTTTAGTGGGCATGGTGGTGCTGGGTTGACGGTTGGACTCGATGATCTTAGAGGTCTTTTCCAACCTTAATGATTCTATGATTCTATTATTCCTATTTTTCCTTACAGCACCTTTCTTTATAAAGAGGCACCTATATAAGACCTCTGTCTCTCCTGCATTTGACAGAAATACTATCAGTATAAAACCCCAGTGTTTAGATTTTTGAAAAATACCAGAGCGTGTTGAAAAAAAAATGCCACATTGTGAGCAGCTGCATTTCTCATCATTTGTTTCTTCTCCAGTGTTAAAAAAATACGGTCGTCTTTGATGCCGTGTTTCCCCCCTTCAGGAAAGAAATCATTTTTGCTACAGGATTCAAGTCCAAGGAGATCAACTTGAAAATAATGATTGTCCTCCTTTCTGTTTTGACATTCTTAAAGACCCATCACTATTTTTACTTTACTACTGAGAGAAGGAGGCAGGTACCAATTTCACATATTGTGGAAGGAGGCTTCATGCTCCAAAAGCCGATCAAAATACACCAAACTCCCCAAAACCAAAATCTGTAGGTGAGAACCTGCAATTTGATGTGTTTAGAAACAGCTGTATTTTACAGGAGTTCAAAATATCCTCAACAATGCTGATTTGACACTGCACGTTCTTCTTGTAGTCTTTTCAACTAGATTTATTAAGGAAAACATTTGACTTCCTCAAGAAGTTGGACAACATTCTGTTGCCAACTTTGCAAACACAGGGAAGGGTTGTCATATCCTTTTCTTCTGGATTGTGGATAGTATTTCAGGATGCAAAAGCTACCGCTCTACTAGTAAATTAAACAGTGCTGGGTATGTTTCTGGACCCTGGAACTCAATTATTTACACTGTTAAAATTATGGAGTGGTCCTTGGCATGGGTTTGGCCTGAGCTGACTCGTCTCCTCCATCAGTTCCTAGGCGTGATTTGGGAGTTAGCACAGGCAAAGATCTGTTCCCAACAGACAGTTCAAAATCATCACCCTCCACCATGGTTTTGAGGGGTGAGAGATTTTAACCATACGGGTATGGATTTCTCTGTACCAGAGCACCTTCCTAAGCATGTTTAATTTATGACTATAGACGTGCCCAAGGATAAAAAGAGTCAAGGACCATAGCCGTCTACCTTTCACACCTACTGTTTAGGTTTTAAAGCCTGTTACAGGATCTATAACAAGATCCATTACATCCTATTACAGGATCCATCCATTAACAAGATCTATACAAGATCCATATATTAAGCAGTGGAGCTTGGTTCAGCGCAATTGTTTCTGGAACATTATACCCACTTCTAGAGTCTACATTCAAGGAGATAAAATTTAGACATTTCAAAGAAAAGTCATAAAAGTGATTAAAGGATCCAGAAATCTGCCTTCAAATTATCCAAAATGAGGTATCATAATTAAACTTGATGTAGGAAAGGAATGACTGAGAATGAGCTCTTAGGCTTACACAACAAAAAGCAGTGTGCAATGGTGGAATGTTTGTTTCAAAGTGGAAATAAAGCACATGTTTTGAGCATTGAAGCTATGAACTAATGGAAGAACGTTGTAAGGTCTGCATGCCATTGCTGGCATTTTATCAATGAATATTTTGCTAAAAGATATGCTCTAGTTCAAACAAGAATTAATTGAAGGGAATCCCATAGTTCAGTTAAGCAAGAGGTTATAGGACTATGCTTTATACGTCTATAAACTCTACTTTATGGAATTGCAGTTTAAATAGAGTTTAAGCCACCATGGCCTCTACAAAAAGCATCCTGTTTCTCTCCCCAGGCTACTCATTCTTGCTCATCATGTATTGCATCTTCCTTTCTGCTAGCACAAGCATTATTTGCTTTTTTTTGCTGGTTTAGTCCTACCCAGTGTCACTTCCCTGCTCTGGTTCAACCTGAGGCCACACACATGCTTAGGCTGGCACAAAGGAGAGGTTGGTGCAGGGACAGGAACAAGGCAGGGAAGGAGAGGAGCTGCCTCCTTGGGAGCTCTGCCATCCCGTGCTGGCTTCAAGTGTGTGTGAAACTACCCGGGGAGTCATGTACTTTAATGGAGCTGACCCTGCTGCTTTTTTTATCAGTTATAACATTCAGTACTCCCATCCCTTTGAAACTATTCATCTCTTCATTAAACTTAGAAGCAATAAAAGATGCATAAACCCACAGTACTCTGTAACTAAGCTGAACTGTCATTCGGAGTCTGTTTTTCAAAATGTTGTTTTACTCCACCCACATAACTCCATGAGAGCTCTTGGGTTGCTGGCACAGTTTAAGAGGCCTGAGGGCTATGCTGAGTTCAGATGCTTTATATGCATTTGTAAAAATCAACTGTGTGAATCCAACAGGATATTTCGATTGCTGGAGCAAACCATTTAAGATCAATGGGGAACGGTAATGAAGGATCTGTGCAACTGGGAACTGGCTCGGTTCTTTATAACATCTGGAAATGAAAAATTATGTTTTTCTTTGTAAAGGTGTGGAAATTATTATAACGGGCTGGTTGGCTTTTAGTAAAACACTTTAAACTCAGTAAGTTCTTACTTGGGGAATTCTTTAGAAACCTTTTGCCTTGTTTTGTTCCATCTCCCAAATGCACACTGTTTTCTTCATTTAATATCTATCAACCAGAGAGAACTGGGCCAGCAATGTGTTCTTCAGGTCACAGCTGCCCGGCCTCGACCTGCCCCACATCCAAACCAGTGGTTACTCTGAATAGCTGGCAAAACTATAAACTTTATTTTTCTTCCTGAGCCTTGGCATGCCCCATGGATTGTATGTCTGAACAAAACACTTGGCATTTCTTTCTGAAACTCAGACTTTCTTCTAAAAAACAAAGACACAAACAGTTTATTTTGGAGTAAGACCTGTTGGTGGATTTAGTCTTTTAGTATGACTGTCAACATTGCCTGTTTTCCTTAAAGGGACCTGATGCAGTAAACCTATAATGCTGACTTTGCTGTGTAATTTGGTAGAAGAAAATAAATGTTAGAGCAGGTTCTTGCTTAAACATACGCAGTTTAAAACTGGGGAAAAACTAGTTTTACAGATTCAATAGAATTCACTTGGAATACTTCTTTTTGCAGTAAAAAGCCCTTCATATTTGACTTCTGGTTGGTATGGAAAGCATGGGAGACTTGGATATGGATAGCAGTCATAATACGGATTCATCGTACATAAAAAGGAACAAGTGAAAGTTATACTGAAAAAACAAAATTGGAATGTTTCCCAAGACTAATTCCCCTCTTGATTTGTAGGAAGAAAGAAGAATCTGTGGCCCTTAGAGCCAGTTTATTTTATCAGTGTTGTTTTTCAATCCATGACTTCACAGCCAGTGGGACCGGGTTATTATGACAAGAAACATTTCATCATTGATTACATTTTGGAGAATTATATGATCTTGACCAAAAGACATCCATTTGACTATGTAAATATATATTTTAAAAACTAAATTAAACACTAGGAGCTAAATTCAGTAGGGGTAAGCAGGGTACAATCCATTGACTGAATTTTTGCCAGAACATTGAGGAGATGCACCCTAATCTCCCTTTTGATATTTAGAAAAATAAACGATATCATGTTCCTATGAAGTGAGTTCAACTGGGATTTAAATTATTGTGCCAAAAACTCAGAACGAGTGAGTCACTCCTCTTTTCCCCTGGGAGGGAGATGCAATAATGATACAAAGGACCCTCAAAGCAGCTTTTACGTTCAGCTCCTTTTCCCTTTTCAAATTCACCTGGAAAACTATGGGATTATTTTTTAAAAAATGAGAGGAAGAAGGAAATAGTGGGAAAACATGCTCAGTGTGCGGTTCTGTTAATGGTGAATTCGTTAGGGCAATGTCCCCCCCAGCAGCAGCGTGCTCCAGGTTGGGGTGTCATAGCATCCTGCATCTCCCAGGACTTGTGCAGACTTGCACCATGGCTCCATGATCAGAGGTGGTGGTGGCAGGAGGGAGCCCAAGGTACATGGGCGCTGTGGACTTGGCTGAATAGCTGTCACCACTGCTGCAGGGGAGGGAGAGAGGCAGGGTGTCTTCTTCTGCCCTCTTCCCCACTCTTTTGGCATGAAAGATGGTTTTGGACTCATTTCTGCATGATGGCCTTGCCCATCCAAAATGCGCCGTGGGAACAACTGTTGTTCATCTCCACTGGTAAAAGGCAGCCAGCCACATACTGCCCACAGGCTAACCGTGTTTTATTCACTGTATGGTGCCACTGAGACATTTACAAGTGGGGTATCTACCCCCATATGCGGTTTTATCTGTATGGTAGACGCCTGGCAGTGTGTTTGAATTGTAGCTGTTTAAGTCCTTCAGTTCCAGATGGATAGGCATTTCAGAATGATTTCCTGTAATTTTTTTCTCTGTCTGGTATTTGTTGATCCAAATAGCATATATGTCATTATCATATAGAGTAAGTATGTGTTTGTTCTGCTTGATTAAATTCCTGAATTCCCAGCATTCTTCCAGTCCTGCCTCAGTAACCGCGCTTGGGAGGTAGGTTGTGAGCAGCACTGCATGCCAGATTTCAGTGTGTGACAGTCAGGCGTGGTGTCCACATGTAGAAAAAATGTCCCACTTGCATCCACTGAAGTGTTAAGCGATGTGTGTTGCTCTTCCACAGGTTTTGAAATAAAAGAACATGTACAGAAGCAAGAAGTTGCCAACAGTTTGCCAGCGCCTCCTCAAATGCCTCTGCCAGAAATACCTCAGCAGTGGCTGGTGAGTGTTAATTTAAATATATAAATATATATAAAAGAGAATATATTTGTGATAAGCACTAACAGAAATGGTTACAAGGGGAAGGAACCTGCACGTCCGGGGAAATGATTATTCCTCTCAACTCCGCTCTGATTGAGAGAATTTGGTTCAACTTGCAGAAGAGAAGGCAAAAAAATCCCTATGGTGAAATAAGCCCGGGAACAGGTCACCTGCAAAGGCTGTGGAATTGCAGTCTTTCGTGATTTTCAAAATTCAAGTGGCAAAAGCCTGAGAAACTTAATCTTAACTTCAAAGGTTGACCTGCCTTGTGTTGGAGGTTGGCCTGGCCAAGCCCACAGGTCCCAGCCAGTTTCTTACTATTTTAAGGAGCAGCTTTCCCTGGAGCAAGCCTTATGAGAAGACTCCCTCTTGATAGCTGAAAAATGAAAGTAGAGAGTTTTAAAATGAAGGAAGAATATTTCCTTTTTTTATAAAGTGTTTAGTGCCCTTCTGTGCTCAGTCTCTGGTTAGGAAATTCCCTGCAGAACAAGTAGAAGTGTATGTTCTCGGAGATGTTTATAGCAAAGATACTGATTGAGATCTGTAATTCAATTCCTCCAGTTGGGAGCAGCTGTCTTGTTACAGAATAAGCTATAAACAATTTTTAATGCTCCTCTGTTACTGACTTTACAGTAGATTTGAAGAAAACATTTTCAGCATTTTTTGTTAGAGAAGTGTAAGCAAATCATGGTTTAGCTTGTTGAAAGGTGAACACAGTCTTAGCTCTAATCGGATAAATTAAGCATCTTTTTATTCACTTGTGGAAAATTTTGAGCATGGTCATAAGGGCAATCCGTGGAGACCTGCGTTCATTGGCTGAAGCAGGAAATACAGATGCAGCTTACGGGGGCAGAACAGCCGGATGACTGATGTTCTGCTTCATTTTAGTGTGTTACTCTGTTACCGCATTTATGGCCAGTTCTAAGAGATATATAAGCCAGTAGCATCTCATGAACATAAGAACTAATTTATCAGATCAAACTCTTGGCCAGCCTTTCATAATAACCTTTATTTGATGGTGAATAATGCTATGTACTGCAGAACAAAGTAAAAAAACCCAACAAACCTATTATGTAGAATACTTTAATCATAGTTTCTCCCTAAGCGCTGCCAGCTTTTGGTTTGTGACCTGAACAAGACTTTTTTTTTTTCCAATTTTAATTCTACGTAATGTAATGAGATATGCTGAAATCATTATAGGAAGGGAATGTTTACATTAGAAACATTCATATCCAGAGTTGGTATATATACTGTAGCAAAATTCAACTAAAAGGGATACTATAAAATAATTATGCATAGGTTTGAATGGATGCGAAAGTGGTCTTATTAATATGCAGTGAAACCTGGAGAATCCATTTCATGGTTAAGAGGGCCTGAAAATGATTGTTTTTCTTTAATTCAAGATGCATATAGCATAAATTACAAGGGAAGGGGTTGATGAGAGGCAGGAAAATTAAGCAAAATGCACAGGCCTTTGAAATGCAGACTTCAGGTCCTAGCTTCATAAACTGAAGCCAGTTGAGATCCTCGTTCTTTCATATTTATGTAGGTTCAGTTTAATAAATTGGCTCTGAAGATTCAGGTTGTTTTTCTAAAGACAACTGACCTACTTTTCCTTTCTTCTATACTAATGTGTAAATTCCCTTAAAGTTGGTACAGCTGCAGCGAGTGAAATGGTGTGAAGCATGAATTAGGTCCAGGAGGTCAACACTGTTTTTTGCAGTAGCTCCGTTTGGATTTTGGAGTAACAAAAATATTTCTCTGAGATACAGTGGGAATTACCGTGGAAGTTGACACAGTTAGAGCTGGCTGGTCTGGAGCGCGGTCTTCCCATGTTGAGCCTGGCAAAGTGGAGTTTGAACATGGCCCTCCCCTCTGACCTGCCCGTAACGCTGTGGACGCTTTCATCTCGGTGAAGTCACGAAGCTGAGCTGGTTTTTCCATAGTGTCCGAAGCTGATTTTTGCCAATTTTTCTGCAATTCTGTTGCTGCTGTCAGGCAGTGGTGGTTTTCGCCTCCCTGTCTGGTGTCGGTGCCACTTTGAGATCATCCAGGAAATGTCCCAGGCCTCTCGTTGTCCTGCGTTATCCAAATACGGGTTATGAGTTGTGCTATTTTAAGACAGTAGCACATCGTAATTTGTGAGAAAGATGACAGACTGCTGCTGTCCTGCAAAAGACGAGGTGGAGTCAGGAGGGAAGGACAAAACCATCAGCTTTTTGAGCTTTGAACACTGGGGCAAGCTCAAACCGCAGTCTGACTGTTTAAAGATTTCTCCTGAAGTCACGTTGAGCTAATGGAATTGATCATTAGCTGTTTTTTGGAAACCTTTCTCTATTAGATGCCTCTGTGTTAGCCCCTCATTATTATTAGATATAATCAGAGACTGTCATATTATCTTTCTTTTTACACCAGGCTGGACGTCAGTGACAGTGGCTAAGATCTAATTTTCCCTTCCATTAATGTTCCTGCATGGTGATTTTCAACCTACCCTCAATCAATGGACTCCTAAAGATTTGTAGGTGATGATGCCGATCTCTATAAAAACTGTACATAATTACATTGCTCAGTGACACAAATGCTGAGCTACCTTTCCTAGCCACTTTTCATAGACCGTGCTTTAGTAGTCGAGTGGAAGAAATCCCTTGGGCCCACCAGAGGCTGGGAAATTCTGCTCCAGGTTGCCCTTCTTGGCAACCTGGCAAGTTGGAAGTCGTGTTGTAGGGCACCTCTTTTTGTCAGCCATTCAGGACAGAAACTTTTTCCACTTGCTGCATAACATCTAGTGGTGGTCTCAGCCTCCAGTGGAAGCACAATGTGCTGCTGGAACACAGGAATTTACTGGAAGTGGGAATCAATAACTTCAAATAAACTATGCACTGTTTTAAAATCTATGTTTTTAGCACATCAGTTACTGAGCATGATGGAAATTAAAGTTTCATTTACACCACTGTTTCTTTTTATGGCACTCAAGGGATTCTGCATTCAAAAATGTTTAGTCTGAATTGATGTTTAAGCTTTTACTTATGTAAAGATGTGTGGGTGGGAAGGAATTCAATACTTCTTAAAGTAGTGCCAGGAGCCAGAATTATGTGTGGGCAGGTGCTGTGCAAGGTTTCCTTTGTAAATCTGTAAATAGACCTGCATATTTGCTCAGGCCAAATCTTGTATCAGTTTTGCTATTCATCAGCCCATGAACAAAGAGTATAGAATTAATTTTATTTAGAAACATGCTGTTAATAGTTTAAATTAAGTCTCCAGTCATTCAAACACATTAAAGCCTGGAGAGTTTTCCTGGACTCAGTGGGCTTTGGATCAGGTCTTAAAATCGAGGGACAAAGTTGGACCTTGCATATACTTGAATGAAGCGAATCACTAAGGACACAATCTCTTAGTAATTGTTTTTTTCTGTATACATTCCCTTGCTTTCATCTGGTCTAGCAGACTTTCCGTCAGGCTTAGAAAGCACAAATCCTTGGTTGCTTTAGCCTGTGCATACAGCTCCTTCAGATGGTCGGCAAAGTAAAAGCTGCGGATAAAGGACGTGAGCTTAAGGGCAGCTCAGAGTCCTCCTGCAGAACTGAAACACCACTTGCCTGGGTGCGTCAGTATGTGCTTGCGAGCATGAGTACAGTGCCAGCAGCTGGTGGAGCTTTGTCCGGGTCAGCAGCAGAGGAGGAGATCACGGTGTCTGAAGGGGAGTGATATTGGTTCGCCCCTCTTGTATCTCCTTACTGCAAGGGCTTGTGTCTTTTAGCCTGCTTTCTCCAGCTCTTTATCAGCAGCTACTTTTGTGATATTTCCCTGTGCAAGGTGCAGTGCTAGGTGATGGGTTTGGAGGAATAACAGAGGCAAGGCTCTGTGTGTACTTTGCAATGCTGCTGGTGGTTTAACACCTGGGGTCCCATCATTGCACTATCACCAAGTTGCCCTGAAGTACGTTTTCCACTGAGGCAATAGAATAAGATCCAGTGGGTCCTGCCGCTCAGATGCGCCTGAGGATTACTGGCATAAATTATCCACAGCATGACAGTGACAGAATACTTCTAGCCAGTGATTTCAGTGCACTGTGCAGTCCAACAAAATCAAATACAAACAGCACAGCTATTTTGCATGATTTTCACAGTAAAATTGAGTATACATTTTATTTTTCTTGGAATATTGACAATTTAATAATTATTTAACCTCAGCAAGCGTCCAGCAAGATGCCAGAACCCCTGTAGGTATAAATCAAAAGGATAGGTCATCTTCCTCCAACCCTTTCCTGCAATGTACACAGTCACTCTGTAGGAGTGTTTCATATAAATGGGTTTCCTATTGTGGAGAAGCAATTTGACAGACTCCCTTTATCTGGCTGCCTGTCAGGTATACTCTCAGATATTTATTAGAAAATGCTGAAAGGAGACTGTCCTTGGAGAAGAAAAAAATCTTCTTGAAATCAAAAGGATTTTTGAGGTGATACATCACCAATTACATTAATCATTCTTTGAGCAACAACAAAAAAAGTGCCAGTCTTAAAGCTTCTTCTAAAATGTGCAGTGAGACTAGTCTCATAACCAAAGCAAGGGGCTTATGTGCCAGGTGGGTACCTATGAATGCTTATTTCATCTTGCTTTTTCTTCCAACACTGAAAAGCAGTTGTTATTCTCTGTTCTTCTTAAAAGATAATCTTAAGATAGTATTAGCCTTGGAGTTTTTCTCCTTGCAGAAAATTTTTAAAAGCAAGAAAAGCAAATTCAACAAAAATTCAATTGTTTCATTCAGAGCTGGCTAATAGCTTCAGTTTAAACAAATCTCAACAAGTTCTTCCATAACGAAGGAACAACTAAAGGGGCCTTTTTGATTATTCAGTGCAGTCACTCTTACTGCAGGCAATTATAAAATATTAACCCTTTCAGAAACTTACCAAAAGGTATTTACTAGCATTTAGGTTTCTTTAACGCCTATTTCAATTTGAAAGG